TCTATAATAATAAAAGCGTAATATGCTAATTAGACCAGACGTCCTTCCAGATGTCCTTCCTTCCAGACAAAGCCGCAGCAGGCGGGGGCCGAGGCAGAGGTGGCCACCACGGTGGTGGGGGGCCAAGGCCCTTGGCAAGAATTTTGTGCATTGGGCCTCTAGTGTTTAAATAAAGTGTTTTCAGTTGCATATTACCTTTCATCCCAAGAATCACTTGACAGCACAGAAGAAATATTGAAATGACTCAATAAAACATAACATAGAGGAAGTTGTTTAGAGTGGTCCCTGGCCCCTTTCATAATTACTTTTACCTTCTTTATCTATAAATACAAGTGAACCAACTACAGGGAATTCTGGGTCAGGCTGAATTACCTCTGCATTACAGTAATAAGGATAATATCTAATTAAGAGATGTCTTGGTATGCACAGAGAGAATTTTCTGCATTTATCCAATTCCAAGAAAAGAGTATCAATTACATTTTTAATTTGATGTTACATCATCTTAGTGCAGACATAAAACACCCACAGAGTCTCTCATGAGTCCTTTTTGTTCAACAAAATATATGAGTCTTCCCATCTTTACTAAAATACATAAGATTCAAAGGTAAAATTAGTAAAGTGAAGTTAAAATATTTGAACCTTTAGGTTTTCTTTTCTGTGACAGAAGCAGTAAACTTATTTAGACATATCACAGAGGACCAACAAGCAGACAACTGCTCCTGTTCAAAATTCACCTGCACCTATTAGCTAGAAGAACATGTGCTATAGGTTTTATGAACTTTCACAACTGGAGATACATCTCTGAGAATAATTTATGTGAATAACTTGACTTTTATCACTATCGTCTTTCCTTCCACCCATATTTTTGTAGGGGTGGCTAACTATATTTTGCTAATTTGAGAATGCACTTAAAACCCAGAGTTCAGAGTTAGAAACTGAACTTGAACCTTTTTACTGTTTGAGTTTATTTGTACTTGGCAAAATGCAACTTCCTGTTTTAAGAAAAAGGACTTGAGAAGACTTATAAAACAGGTTTAGAAAGCTTCTTGGACAT